CAAACAGTATGGGAGAGAGATGTGCTCAATATGTTAGACTTATTTTGGACTTACTGTGTTGGTGACTATATGAGGACTGACTTCATGACTCTTTCTCTGAGTTTTAGGCATATATTTTGTTCATACCTTCATTGAAATCAAGCACTTATTACCTGACTGTTCACTAAATCCCTCCTTTGAGCAGGGATTGTCCAATTATTGCTCAGCAACAGAAACCTGTCGCTCTTTGGATCGCAAATAATGTGCGTGACGGTATAATTAGACCAATACGTAACTAATAAGTATAACTGCTCTAACAGTGCGGCTTGTTCTGGTATTTGGTCGTGACAACATCCTCTTCCACTGCTTGTGATGTATCATAGCATTCAAACCCTAAAGATCCAAACTACATCACAGTGGGATGTGGTCAGGAGTACAAGTAGATATCTACAGCTGCTAAAATCTGCTGACTATCCCAGTATCATTCCCAGCTCCAATTTGGGACTTCCAAGGTCAATCTTACGCAACATAGCTCTGTCTGAAATTAGGGACCCATTGTTTAAAAAGTTCCTTATAACCCCAGGTGGTACTGCTGCCACTGTTATTGTGAATTGCGTTAGCTCTGCCAGGATGGAAACCATGACAGGCGTAGCCACAGTAACTGAGGAGATGTGAGGTGGTAACAGTATGTTGCTTCTGAAGTATAAAACACTGGTTTCCTGGGAATCACTGTCTAAAAATGAAATGTCAAATAGTCTGGACTATAAAGGAAGTTCCTCTTTGCTGATTATTTTTGCAGGAAATCATGACGACCAGATATGAGATGTCAAAGCTGGAGTGAGGCGAATCCTTTCCAGACACGGAGGGAGACAGTCGGCCGTCCCTCGCTCTGCAGCGGGGGGTTCTCCAGGATTTCCAGGCAGGTGGTGGTGGAGTGCCATTTAGTTTTTCAGGGGATCTTCCAGTAAGGCTTCTCCTTCGCGGGGTGGTGCAGACCACAGTGTAGAGGGAGCTCTGCTTATTTCCTCAACTTCTCAAGAGCAAAGGACTCTTCCAGAGAAAACTTGTCTTTTCACTGACCAAAAGGTTCACCATTTTCCTTATTATTATCAGTTTAGAGCATTTCTTTCCAAAGAGAACATTTTCTTTTTATAAGTGCTGTATTTATTTCTTTTATGTTCATGTGGATTTATTTGATCAGAGAATGAGTAATAGTGGGCCTCATGCATGAACATAGTCTCAATTATACGTTAAGTGTCTTTTTGCGGGGAATCTAGATGTTATCGGTCTGCTGAAATTCGATAAGATGCTTATTTATTATGGGAAAATAATTAAAAGCCCTTTTCTTTTTTCTTTTTTCAGTAATTGAACCAAGGACTATTTATTTTACCTGTGTTTGCAGCCAGAGGAGAGATAGAGGATTTATCTTCCATTTGTATATTCATCCATTTCAAACATTCATTTTCATGTGAAACACATTTTTATTTTATTTTTTTCTTTGCCAACTTTAAAATGAATAATTCAAACACATTGACTTTGAGTAGATCATTTGCTTTTATGCACTTTGAAGATCACAGCTGTGAGTAAATGTAGTTCTTGTATGAGGCCTATCTGTTCAGGTAATTGAGAATAATGTGTGTGAAAGTGTTTAATTCTCCAGACATACTGAGTATTGGTGTGTGATCGGGGGGCGAGGAAGAAGCACAAACTAGTGATTTGTACAATTGAAATGTAACTGGGTTCAGTAGTGTATAATTGGGGGGTGTAATCAGGTTTTGATGACCCTACGTGTTTGGGCGGGGAGGTTTGTGTATTCTGAGAAAAAGGAGCAATATACTGTATGTATGTCAACATGGAGTTAAAGCATTTCATTATTTATTTGTGTTCTAAGTGTACTTATAAGTTGTTAAAGAGTGTCTGTGCCTATGTTTACTCCAAAGTGTGTTTTACAATGTGTGCTTCCTTTTCTAACTGCAGCTTGTTTGATTTATTAGCTGATATGAAAATGTGGTGGTTTCAAAAGCACCGTAATAACATTTATTTTCTGTCAAAGGAGGCTTATAATTTCTGAAAATGGCTGCCCCAGTGTTTTCGTCGGTGTAGTTTTGGAACACTGTTGTAGTCTTAATGTCTGTTGTCTTAAGTAAATATAACAGCAAGAAGTTTCTGTCTAGGCCATTCCTTATTATGACACATTACATAAGTTATGTGGTTAGCATAAGCACAAGCTGATCACTTAAGTTTATAATGTCACTGTTCTGTTTTTTGTTTTTTTGGATGGAAACCTGGAGTAATTGTGCTTATGATGGCACGCTGTCCTTCTGTTATATAAAACTGCAGACACCTGCAGTGGACCTCGATTATTTGTACAGATGGGTTTTGGCTGATTCCTGTTATTCCATAATTCCACAATTCCACAGGTGAAGTGGTGTCTGGATAATATGCCTGTTCTTTTTTTATGGGTGTCATGAAAAACCTTTCATACCAGCAGTTTTCTCCTCTCTTCCTTCTCAGGAAGTGTGTATGATCAGAATAAATAATCAAACGCAGGAGCGCGTTTGTTTCCTGGTCTTTGATTTTTCAGTATTAATTTGGCAAATAAAACATACATATTTTACCATGGCCGTGATTTTGCTGCGTCATTTCAAATATGTTTCTTCTGTCTGTCTTGTGAGTACAAGATTCAGGAGTTCAGGAGAGGAACTGGAGAACAATCTGTTGAATGAAAGGTTTTTTTTGAGGTAAATGATGATGAATGACACTGAAATACTGAGAGTACATTTTGAATAAAACCAAGTTCCTAAAATTACCCTGAGTCTCAAGCCATTAGCCCAAAAAAACCTGTGAGCCAGAGTGCTGAAACAGAATAACATCCACAAACCGCCCAATGTATCAGACTTAATGACATTGCAAGTTATTTTATACCAAACCGGTTAAACCTCTCAAATGTTTTCAAAATCAGAATCGGTTTTATTGCAAAGTAGGTTTACACATAATGGAACCTGCTTTGGTGTAAATGGTGCATACGAAGACACAGAAGAAAGGAGCAAAAATAGGACTATTTTAAAAGCTATTTTAAAGACTTAAAATTAAGACAATATTTACACAAAATATAAATACGTGAGAAACTGAGTACAGTAAAATAAAATATGACATACTATATTCTATGTGGAGAGCTGTGCAGATTTAAAAAGCTGTAGTGTGGAGCAGCAATGTGCAACATGTTAAAAGCGTTGTGCAGGTTTTACAGTATTAACAAAAACATGATTCGCCTGATGTGCATTAATGTAAAGCACAATGTTTTTATGGGGTTAAGTTAAAATGGCAGTTAAAAGATGCACTTTTATCCAACATGGAAAAATGCACTCCCAGGTGTTGGACTTGTTTTTACCCTGTTCCATTCAAGAAAAAGACCCTGCCGTTGGCCTCTGCTGTTGTATTTGGCTCAAAAATACCTGAACTGCAACAATACAATTGTGAAATCCCCAATAAAACCACCATGATCTCTTTGTGGAGACAAACAGGAAAACATGGCCTTGTTTTGAGAAAAAGCCCTGTGGGCCTCTGAGCCAGAGAGAAGTCCATCTGAGCAACCTGCTACAGGAATCCATTCATTCTGAAACAGCTTTCTTTGCAACCCGGCGTTTGTGTCTCTTCTTGTTATTTGTCTCAAAAATGAAAACAACGAGTGTCATTAATGTATGGCCTGTAATGTCAGGTTATAGGCAGCTTGAAAGTCAGAAACATTATAAAGGACATTCATTCTGCTTTGCTATACAGTACCCTCACACATTTCTGGATTTTTTCCAAACATTTATCCCACATGAAAGATGATCCACAGGCGACCTCTCCCCTCTCCGGGATGAAATAAAAAAAAGTACAGCAAATTCCTCTACAGTGCCTTTCATTCTGGACTAACACACCAGCAACACACACCTTTTTCTGTTTTGATGTGAATCCATTGATTCACTGCTGTTTCCCTTCAAAATGTTGTGTGGTTTTGTGATTTGAAATGTATGCCAATTTCAAAAAGCATCTTAGCATTGACAATTACCAAGGCAGGACACTTGGTAACAGATGGATCAGAGAAATTCATTCAACAAAGAAGATAATATAAGCTTAATCACAATTGGTATTTACTGCAGGCCTCTGTATCTTTGTGTAAATCTACTCTATGTGTGTTTCTGTTATTTTGAGTGTGCACTCAACTAAAGAAGAAGCCTCTACAGAGAAATAAAGTTACTAAAGTTTCCACCCTTTGCCTTTCAGACATGACTGTATATTTGTATATCACTCTCCAGCAAATGGCTTGTGTTATGTAGCTCAGGACTCTCCAGTTGTCTCTGGCAGTAATATATCCTTCCGCCTCCGAATGGATGAAACATGTGAACATCAAACAGCCTGAAACAAAGGCTGCAATGTGAGCCCTCCTGTTCTAGTTACTGAAGGAAATTACGCCTGCCACTAATGCACGTTGTCATTCTCAGATCAGTGTGTACCGTTGAGGCATGTGTTTTGATTCTTACCATCCACTCCCTCCTGGAAGCATGCAGCTCTTCTGGCCCCTTTTATTGCAATTTTGAAACCCTGGATGGAGACGTGAGAGAAGGACAGAGTTAAGAGAACACATGTGGTGAACATTAGTCTCTTCTTTCTCTAACAAGTAGACACACTGAGATATGTTTCCCAAGTACAACAGTTACTGCTCCTTGTATAAAAGTTAAATCGGAATATTGTGAAACTCCTTTTCTAGAGAAATGCAGCTTTGACGTGGATTGTCTGTGAACTTCTGCCACAAGGATTATTTTATAAAAACACACATTCTTCCTCTTCAACCTTTCATCCATTCAGTCAAGAACGTTTTTTTATAGCCATCCAGCGTTCATTCATCAACTATGAGTCGGTTTGAATTTCGCTTGTTAAAATTCACTCATAATGGATGAAGAATGAAAACAAGCACTGCCGCAAGGACATTTAATAGCATGCTGTTCACTGTCAAGTGAGGTAGATCTAACAAAAACTGAAATGTTAGACTGACTTTATTTCAGTTATGCAGAGACAATTAAAATTCCACATAAATTGTGTAGTGCATTTGCCAAGCTTGCCAAATCATCTGTGATTTTGAATATAATGATTTCTGGGTTACATACAGAAAATGAGTAATACAGAAAATATGCCCAGCTACAGTATTGGATCTACTGTTTTAAAAGAAACACTCTCAGTATAATGGATGATACCTTAAACAAGAAAGGCTAGTACAAAAACAAAACAAATATACAGTATACGATGGAAGATAAACATGTGGCGTACAGTATGTCACAATGTAAAAACCAATAATATTTCCAATAAATTAGAGCCTCAGGAGCACTAATGTCTCATACGGATTTATCATTAACAAAGCGAGGGCAGTGCATCAGCCCCGGGGCCAGACCCTGAGCTACACAGACATGATCTTTGATAGACATTCAAAAAATACCAACATAAAGCAACAGCAATCTCAAAAAACATACTTCCATCCCTCCCAACCCATTCATTATGCTTCTGATTAGCTAGTTTTCATCCATTCAAACACACTCAGACAAACGCCATCAGTCAAAGCTCTTACTGACACTCCTCAAAGATGCATCTATGATCTGTTCTGCCGTATATTGTTATTCCTAATATAACTGTTAAATATTAGCTTGTCTAAGGAAGCCCTGAGAGGCAAGTAAGAAAAAGTAATGTTGGTGGTAATGACTTAAGAAGAGGTGAACAAAGTATCTACACTGGAGAACGCTGCTCCTGAATCAAGTAAAAACAATTATGAAAACAAGGTGTTTTCGCTTGTAATAAGTAAACAAATCTGCCAATAGAACAAGTAAACATTTGCTTGGTAAGATTTCTTGAATTAAGATGGGATACTTAGATAAATAAGATCTTGTAATTAGCTGGGAAAACGTATTTTTACCAGAATCAGGAAATTATGTGTAAAAAAATGAGCCGGAAATGCATTTCAGTTTTCTGTTTTCTGATGTTAAGTTGGTGATGTTCCAACAAAAATGTGTTTCCTAAAATCAAGTAATATATATTTCTTGAAAGAAGGTGATCCATCTTTCACAAATACCACAGCATCTTAAAAACCTTGTGACATGTCAAAAAAACGTAATCTGAGATACAGCTGAAAATAAGTTTTTGACTTAAAAAGAGTCTTTGACTTAAAAAGATACTTAAGATGCATTGTCTAAGAACAAGACCCTGTATCTCACTGCATAGTTACTTCTTAAGTTATTATGTCTTATATCAGGTGTAAAAACACAGACACAGATTATATGACTAGAAATAAGACCAATATACTTGGTAAGGTTTCAAGTTTTTACAGTGTTTTTCCTCTGTGCAACAGGTGAAATAAGTGTTGGCAGGTGAAAGTGTTGTAATACTTATTTTCTGGCCACAAGAGTCTGATCTGCAAAACTTGTTCCAAATTGGACTTAAAACAATTAAGTATTCTAGAGAGAGTTTAAAATGTATCCACAAACTCCAAACATAAGAAACAATAATATGTGTTTTAAACTGATAAGACACAAAGGTAATTTTACCAAACGTAGGGTAGTGGTGCATTTCAGCCTCTTGTTGCCAGGTGAGTATTGGAAAAAAGTAAAACATAGAAAAATGAACGTAGAAAGATTACATTGGCAACGCCTCTTTCACCTGTTCTTAAGTCATAACCACATGGGCCTCCGTACCTGCCACTCTCACTATTGTGGTATTTGGCCACTGAACAAGTGTTGTCCTGCAATTGGCTACTCAGACAATTGAATTACTGATAGGGGATAAAGAAACAGTACCAGGAAACTCAGTTCTCATTACACTGCTCCGTGTTCTTCTTCACCTCGCCGTCTCGTCTTCCTCCGTCTCCAGCTCTCTCTCAGAAGTTGTAAGGTGAAACCAGAATGTTAACCTTAGCCACATGCTTGGCCTGAAAGGTGCGGTCGCTGTACTCAGACATGTCCACGTCTATGCTGATCTCCTGCGGCCCTCGCAGCTGCTGGACCAGGATCAGCTCCCCGGTCTGCCTGTCTGAACGCTGCATGGCAAAGATACCTCTGGAGTTTCCGCCCACTATGCCGAAACGCAAGCTGTCGGGCCCGGTGCGACCTGGGGCGGAGGCGGTCGCCATACGGAAAAGAGTTGCAGGAGTCTGCAGGTTGGAGCTCAGAGACAGGTAGTGGAAGGACACGGTCTTAGGAGCCAGGTGGCAGGAGCGGCTGTCCATGGGGCAGGGGTTTCTCTCACACTGACTGCAGGACAGAAACACAGCCAGTATTAAGCAGGGGGCATTACAGGACAAAGTGGTACAAATGTTCCACTCTCTGTGTGTTTGCCGGTTGTCATGCACATTTTGACACTGAGAAAATGATTATATAATTAATCCATCCCTGTGGGAAAGTGTTCATAGCGGTTTCTTTGAGACTGGAGAAGAGTGACACACCTACATACAGTACATATGAGCTCATGTGCCCTAAAGTCATCATAGATCATAGCAGGCTGTGATTTTTTTCTTTAGGGCAGTACTTCCAAACTCTTAAAAAACCTGCAAAGCATAATTATGTTGAAATGGGGACACAGCTACTGTCTTACTCCATGTTGCCTTCTCCCCTTGTTGTGTCCCATTTATCCATTCCTTTGACTGGCAGTGGAGCGGTGTTTCACCACGTTGATGGTTCAGTAGAAGCAGACAGAGTTTTGTTTCATACTCTTAAATGAGGCAGCTTGCTGATGATTGGCAAATAGGAAGAGGGATGTTGTAATGTCTCCTAACATTTGGCCAGGACACAGACATTGTACATGGGTATTAAGAGGGAAAAAATTGTATCTAGGGAAGTTGGGCTGTCAGAAATGATTTACTTCACTGTGGTAGGGCTATAACTCTTGTGTTTTATTGATATAATTTATTACTGGAATTAAGTCTAGAGGCATCACTACAACAAAGTCAGACCTACAGACTACAACAGATTAGCCCTAATATCTAAAGCACAGTTTTTGATAGTAAATCTGAAAGTGAGATTTCACTGCATGGAAATACTGTAACAACTAAGGCAAATTACAAAAAAGGAAGTAGGTTTGTAAACTGTGATGAATGCTCAAAACTGTTTTAGTGATGGTTTCATAGGCAGCCCTCAATTTCTCTCAGGAAAAAAAGGTTAACTTGGCAGTGAAATGGCTGCATTGCCAGAACTCAGAGGTTACCATGGTGAGCTTTATGTTATTTCTTCCAATATCAATGACAGCCAAAACTAAGTCCCAAGTTGTCTAAAACATGAATTTCCCTTTTCATGGTTCATCTGGAGAACTCTGAGGCTGTGTGCGTTGATACATGTATCTCAACTTCACTGTCATGGATCACTGACCATGACCCTGAACACAACAAAGATCCCAAAATGGGGTCAAAATGTCCTCCAGGAGCCCATACGTTTCTGACAGCATCTAATTTACTACGCAAAAGGTACATTTAAACTTGGTGACAATTTTCTGCTCACACATGGAAGATTTTTTTATATAGCTTTTCCCTTGTATAAAATAATGACAAAGAAACACTGGGGTGTATCCACTTACAAGGGAGATGTCTTGACGTAGCTGATGTTGCCATGAGAACGGGGACACTCTGGGTTGACACAGTGAAAGCCTCCCCCCATGTTGATACAAGTTGTCCCTCGGCTGCAGTTGTGCTGCTGGCTCAAACACTCGTCCACATCTGGAAGAAAAAACAGCAGAGGCGTGTAAGAAGGAGAAGCGGGGAGAGAGGCTTGCCAGACTGACGCTCTGCTTCCTGGTTACCACAGTCTGAGCTGGGGGGTGCTGTGCTACGATTGTTTATTTGGTTTTTTAGTTTAGTCTCCCCCAAACGCCTCATGTCCTAAAGATCCCTTTCTTCTGGGAAACGGTGAGGTCATTTATTCCACTGGCAAGCTTTGCGAGCTTCAGGGGTGCAAATGAAAGTGGTAACGGGGTTTTTGGGCCAACAGACACTTCTCCTCTGCAGGAACTCAAAGCTCTGCAGCTCCTCGTCTCAGACACAGGTATTCCTCTCTGGAGCTACATACCCAGGCAGATCTGCAGCCAGCGCTCTGTGAATGAGCCTTTGTCCTCTGTTCCCTCTTGTCACTCACCCTCACAGCTCCGCCTGTCTGCAAGCAACTTGTAGCCGCTGGGGCAGGAGCAGCGGTAAGAGCCCGGGACATTCACACACTCGTGGACGCACAGCTTCCCTCCTTGGTCCAACCGGTACACTTCGCATTCGTTTACATCTGTCAGGAAACAGACAAAGAAATGCATAACTTAAAAATGCATCACATGACCAGGCCAAAGTGCACATGAGACCAACTAAGAGGTTGCAGAGTTTAAAGGTCCCCTATTATACTGTTTTTCATCAATATATTATTGTTCTCAGATATATACAAAACTTTTCTCTGAAGTCTTTGGCTCGAAATACCAAACAGATCATGCATTGCAGCATCCCATAAATCCCTCTGTTTCAGCCCTGTTTCAAAAGTGCTGATTCTGTGTCTTTTAGATGAAAATAAGGAGCCACTCCCCACGCCCCTCTGCGAGATATTTGGTTAAAAAAAACACAATGGTGCTCTAGGAGGAGATTCAGATAAGGTGGGGGAGGGGGTTACCTTGGTTGGTTTTTATATAAATGGATCAGGACAAAAAGTGAGAGAATCTTTTTTCCTATAATAGGTGACCTTTAAAGGTAGGGTAGGTAAGTTTGAGAAACCGGCTCGAGATCGCTAGAATTTGAAAATGCACAACCGGAGAAAATCTGCCACTTCCTTATAGAGCCCCTCCTCCAACACACACGAACGCGCACATGACCAATGAGGGCACGAGATAAGTTTGTGCACAGATGGAAGGCTGACAGGCAGGTAGGCCATCCAGTTATTTTAGCCGGGCCGGCTAAAATTATTGGTCGTACTTTTTACAGTATTACGGCTTCCACAGATGACATTTTTTTATGGATTTTTTGTCAAAGCACTTAAGATATTCATTGCTATCGGGATGTTAAGAGCATTCCATGGAATATAACAAAAAGTGTATCTCGAGCCGGTTTCTCAAACTTACCTACCCTACCTTTAAGGTTTAAATGATGATATACCTCATACATTGTACAGTTTACAACACACTTTGTTTCTCATGTTGTCGTCAGTATTTAGGTCCCTTTGTTTTGCCCTCAGAGCGTATTGAACATAAACACATTTCAGGCAGCTGCATTTCAAACTCTTACTCAACCAATTACATCTTAAAAGCAAACTGAACTGTGACCTAAATTGATGCTAATCAGCTTGTGAACACCCGAGAGGATTATTTTGTTTGTCACAGACTGGCTCCACAGATTACTCTCATTTGTAGCCGTATTAATCAGTAGTGGAGTATCTTTTCGCCAGTAAAATGCCTACTGGCCTGCTATGTGCCCTGCTGAGGTGTTGTTTAGCAGGGCACCAGCTCGAGGGAACTGCTCTTTAGCTGACCTTGCTTCCCTGTGAGGAGGAGTTGCGAAAAGAGAATTTCCCTACAGGGATCAATTAAGTAATTACGGCTCACCCTGACAGATACTGTTGTCAGAGGTGCCACTCATGTGGAAGCCTGCATCACAGCTGCAGTGTTGGGCTTGGTTCACTTGGGCGCAGCGAGGTCTCCGGCTGAATGCTGGATCGTTCATGACGCTCCACTCAGGTGGTGCTGCATTAGGGGGGAAATAGGGAAGTTGAATACCTGTGCTAAAACATGATCTGGAGATGAACACATTGTTACCGACCTGTCTGTGTTTGGTGCTGACAGTGAGAGCCACTCCAGTTCTGGGCGCAGGTGCATTTGTATTGGTTAACACCTTCCACGCAGGTACCTCCATTTTGGCAGGGATTACTTTCACACTCACTTATATCTGTGGGTGTAGAAGAAAAAATGATCACTGTGCTCAGCTTCTTCTGAACCTTTCCATCGAATTGATGCAAACAGAGCAAAGGCACAACAGTTGCAATTTTGGAGTTCCTTCTCAGACAGAACTTCCTCAGCTGAAAAGATAAAAAAAAGAAAAAAGAAACACATACAGTAAAGAAGCCATGTAAGCCTTTCCTTTCTACCTTCCATCCATGAAGTGGCAATGAGTGTCCACCCAGTTTGATGGCTGATACTTAAGAATGAGAGACTGGTACTGTCATTATGGGCACAGTAAGTCAGTGAAGCCCTTTTATTTGTTCCATTTGTGGAACATTTGTAGTTATCTTCATGACATCTAATGGGGATGACTATTAAAGTGCCTTTTGCAAAGTTGCAATTGGTTGGTTATAGTCTGTTTTACTCATCACACACGAGAATAAAGTTATTAATGCCTTGTTTTTTAGATTTGAGGGGTTTTCTTTCTGCAAAATCAACAGCTGTGAAATACAGCATTCTCAATAACTTCCCATAAAAAAATGTTGTAAAGGTTTATAGCAATTCTACTCATGTTTCATACATATTCATTCACACTCATTAAACCTCCTGTTGTGTTCGTTTCCCCCCCCCTTTACTTTGGTGTTCCCGGTCAAATTTGACCGGTCCTATTTTAAATGCTCTTATATTAACAAAAAAAACATGAATCATCACCACATTTTATTTAACACCCTTTCAAACAGTAAGCAATGTATCAGACCACTGCTATACATGAAAAACTGCAGTAAATTCACAAAGAATAATCTCTCTGACAGATAACAGCCAAATCGGTCGCCTACTCATTGTGCTCACGGAGTACAATGAGAGCAAGGCAAAAATAAAATTATATATCATACATTGTTTAGTCTGCCAGGTGTGGTTCACATGGGGGGATGGGCACATAAGAGCGGGAAACACATCAAATTGGTGTGTGTGTGTGTGTGTGTCAGACCCGGCGCCAGAACAAATCTACAGAGAAGGCATATGATTTTCATGGGAGGGCACACAAAACCGTCATGTGCCGCGGCCAGTGTCAACGCCAGAGATTTTCTTTTGGGGGTGCTGTGGGGTAGCTTGACGTTTCATAGAGGGTGCTCAAACATGTAGGGTTTCCCATTAATGTACCGGCGCTACAGTGGAATGTTCTACTGCAACAAACCTCCCACGCACACACACAGTACACCCGCGACTGTTACAATGAAGGCTCGATAATCAGCTCACGGCATATAGGTGTAAGCAGGGGTAAAGTGCTATTTTTATAAGTGGGGAGTGGACCTTATATAGGGGGGTCCGGGGGCATGCTCCCCCGGGAAGATTTTTATCATAAAGCTTCGATGCAACCAAATGTAAAACACAAAAGTTATGAGTGATGAAAGTAGTAAATCGGTCAGATTTGACCGGAACACAACAGGAGGGTTATTAATAGAGTAAACTAAATATAAAAATCATAAAAGAACAGCTGAACAATGATATCTATTATTTTGTATGACAAAATGACCGCCAGAAAAAAAAGAATGGGTAACCATCGATCAGATCTATTAACACACACACACACCTGTCAGACTTAACAATAATATATATGTATATGTATATGTCTTCAATGTCTTTTTTGCAGGATATAATCTATGCAACACTTTTAAGATAAAGAGCACACAATATTAACTCAGCTACCTTCCTGTGCAGCAATCATGCTACCTGCTGGTAAAACTACTCAATCACAACTGTAAATAATATTAAAGATGAGTGCATAGCAGTGTCATGAGTTATACCCGAGTCACTGCTGCTTAACAACCAACACATTGGTTTAAAGCTTTTGTAAAAGGGAGTACAGAAATGTTGGGTATGGCTAGAAGCTGGGTAAAATACTTATAACTACTAAAAACACACAGGACATCTATGTATGTATAAAGTATAGATCACTCATTAACCAACCAATGTAGAGTCTTATCTGTGGCCTATTGTTTAATTAATCATCTAAGCCCAGAGGATGATAAACCTGTAGTCCAAAATGCTAAGTGTTGACATTAACAGAAGGTAGGAAAGGTAGGAACGACAGCACATCTTATGATCTTTGTTTCTGTACTCAGCAGCCTCTGCTCTCTGAGGCCACAGTATACTGGATGACAACCAATCCCTTTAATGTGTATTTGGTTCCCTCAGGGGCCACCACATGTCCATAACATGAAAAGACCCACTTCACTCTGCTAGATATTTTTAAATTCTTCCTAACTTTAAAGTTTTCACACTCGGTCAATACTGCTTTTTTAAGCATGACTAAATTTAGACCCATCATGCGGGGCTGAAAAACACGAACAGGGATAATACTGTGCAGAGTCGAGCCTTCTCGTGTTGTTTTAAACATGAAGGTCAATAAACGTATGCACATGTTCAACTGAGTGCGCCACTTGGGATTTCTGGAAGAATGCCACCAGCACAGGCTATCAATAGCATGCTTGGCATACTTCTGTGCTATCAGACCATGGTATGGGCATAATGTCTGGACCTAACCCCGTCCAGTGGGACCGCTGTCAAAGAGCGGGGGGAAACATGAGCAAGAGAGGTAGGGTTTATCTTACAGTAGCCCCAACACTGCTGTTCATGAGGAGCAGAGACCTGGAGGGAAAGGCACCCCACAGTGGAATGCAGTACAGGTGTTTTTCTGTGTTCGGAGACATTTAATGCCATTTTAACGAGGGCTTCATTCAGTACACCGAGGAGCTCCAGCCACTCTAAAGAATGCCTCTTTTCTTTGCCTGTTATCTGTGTGTGTGTGTGTGTGTGTGTGTGTGTGTGTGTGTGTGTGTGTGTGTGTGTGTGTGTGTGTGTGTGTGTGTGTGTGTGTGTGTGTGTGTGTGTGTGTGTGTGTGTGTGTGTGTCTGAGGAGCTCAGTTTGGCTTTTGGGCTGATGTGTCTTTCAGCCTGGCATTCAGACACTGCGGAGAAAAGGTTGTCCTAATCTATTGTGGGGGTTTCTGCCCCACTGTGAATAATGCACAGACATTGCTGGTGGTGGCCCAAAAACATTTTGTGAAGAAACTTGTTGGGGTGAAAAGCTTCTGAAAATATACCGAAGAGAGACTGCATTCCTTGTAGGAATCAAATGTAAGACTGCTCTCACACATGGTTAAAAATGTGGATTTGAGCATAGCTGGGAAATAGTGTAATCTAAAAAACTGGAAACATGAACTTCCTCCTTCACAGAGGCAATGGTTAGATTAATCATAATGAAAATATCTTATATAGTGATGTGGGAAACCAGCAAAATATGAAAAAATATGGGGGCTTCCTACCCCCTTTGCTAGGGAAGTAGTATGGAAATCATAAATTATATACTTTATACATTAGAACTTCACACCTTACTTTTTTTTATTTTCAAATTTGAACTGGGAAGACATTTTTACCATACATGCTGTGTGTGGGCTGGGGGCACTTTGTTTGTTTCCTTCTCTGTTTTTCTCATGTGTATTTGTCTAAGGAAAACATGCTATTTTGCTTAAAGAAACCAGGGGAAAAGGAGAATAAGGCAGGGTAATATGCGAGGAATTCCTGGGTCTTGCTCACCTTTACAGATAGCACTGATCCCCGTCCAGGTGCCGTTATCCCGGCAGGCCCGCGTAGCAGAGCCAACAATACGGTATCCCTGGGAACAAGTGAAGTGGACCTCATGTCCGACAAAGTACTTTGAGCCGAACTTTATTCCGTGAGCAGGGGCTTCCAGAGAGGGGCAGGTGGTTGGAGCTGTGGGAGAGAGAAAGAGAGCACAAGAGGAAGGCCGGTCACATGTGGAGTAAGCTTCCTGAACATCCTCTGGCATTCCCTGCCTGGGGATATACACGTGTCGCTGGGCACTTCACAGCCTTCATGGGAGAGGACGATTAAAATGCCTCATTCAGAGTCCACCAGCACAGCAACGGCCATTTTTATGAGTCAGAATTTCACCAGCAGCCAAATGTTATGCTATTTTGCATGCTCTGGAAAATGTAAGGCTTGTATAATATGGAACATAAGTACATTACGTAACATTGTAGGGTGCTTTATCCCAATGTATGTTTCCTATTCCTTTAACCTCAAGAGAAAACAACTGTCAGTAAAGTTTAGAAACTGTGTAATAGGCCAATCTTGCATGGCCAAACCTCCATTATGTCCAGCTTGTGTTTGCAGGGGGATGTAAGCCCCTTGTGTTTTTTCCTGACAAATCTGTGTGTTAAGGTTTGAGCATTTTGTCACAGCTGTATAAGATAAATGTGTGAGATACGTCTTTGATATGTATTGTATATAAGGAAAAATATGCAGTGGAAAAAAGGCTCACAACAAATGTTGACAAGTACTGAATTAAGAAGGGGAAGGCTGCCAAAACGTTATTTGTACCACATCGTAATCAAATTTAGAGTTTCAGAGATTAATCTAGTACATTTTCCTAAATAATGGCAGGAAAAAGGGTAATTCTCTTTCCTCTGTAGTGAAGGATATTCAAATATGTTTGGGTTTTGGACTGAAAGCACAAGACATTTAAAGCCATCATCTTGGAATTTGAGGAACAGGGACTAACATTTTTCACTGTTTTCTGCGATTTCCAAAAAGATTTATCAGGGAAAAACAATCTGCAGATTACTCAATAACAAAAGAATATGTGTACGTTTCAGGCTTATTAGAATTAATATTATTTTACCGATTCCTATTTGTGACTTTATCTCAATCAAAAATATATTTAATTTAAATGAGGATTTGGGATTCTATTCCTGATCAGAGCAAATAAAATGGATAGTGCCATATTTTCTCATTTGTCTTTTTATTTTGTTGAGCCTTTATTAGTGTAAATGTAAAATATCAGCTTCCTCCTGTCTGGCCAAGTACTCTCCAGAGTTATGGACTGAACTGGTCCATCACTAACAAATTGGCCTCAGTGTCTGCTGCCAAACAACACAATTCCACAAATCCACTTCCCCTGTCAAGTACCCAAAACTATGTAACTGAGATGACCTTGCACTGTTGGATGAATATATAATCCCATAAGAAGCCATGTTAACTTCAAACGATTGAATGTTCCCATAATGTTTTAAATGTGATACTTATAAATCTTCTGTTGCCTTTGAGTGAGTAATCAATCACTGAATTACTGAACAAAACCTCAGTCATAATGCATGTGAAACTTTATACAGCATGGATTGCAAATGAAATGAAAGGACTGCTCGATCAGTGAACTCTGTCTGAGAAGATAAATTCATAAGATATTCCGTAAAAGGACCAAGTACTTAACTTCCAAAAAAAACAGATATTGTGATTTTACAGCATACGCATTCGGAATGTGTTTTAATTATGTCTTACTAAATACATTTCATACAGTAACTAACCATAAAGTTATATCTGAATGGCATTCTTTACCTACCAAATACCTCAAATAAATCAAAGTATTCCTGCCTAGAACATATTCCAAAAAAATTTAAGAAGTTAGCATATCCCAGATTTCCAAGTCAAGGAGGACAAAACACACATTTCACTTATTTATTTGGCCATCATCACTATGTGAAATGTTAGTTGTTTTTCCTCCTTGACTTGGAAATCTGGTATGTTTTCACATTGTTTGAAATATTATTATTAGATTTTGGGTTGAGCACTCCATAGAGAACACCATTATTGAAGGGCATCCTCCTTTTCCAACACACATTTCTCAAATTATTATTTATGTCAAACAAGCAGAGAATGGTAAATGATATGTAAAAAGATACAGTCATCAAGCATTCTTTTTTTACTTCTGTGAATACAAAAACACTCATTATTTGTATTGATTTAACTAAGCAATATGACAAATGTTCAAGAATTATATATTTAACTATTTCTACCTTGTTACCTACTTTATTGTAAAATGGCGGATCTAACAAATTGAAATCATCTGTTTTATGTACAGTGTTTTTTACTTTCAATGGGAAATTATGGCTTGATGTTTAGCTGCTTCAGTGTAATGGTTGTGCATGCATCCTACTTTGAGAAGTCAAACTATCTGCTTAGAAAAAAGCCTTCAAAGATAAAAAATGATGATGATTATGATAACTAGGGTGATTAGGGTAGTGTTGTTCTCACCGGCTGTCTGGTCCGCTTGAGGTAACTTGGAGACCGAGTTCTGAAGTGTCGCCAGCTTTGACTTCATGATCCTGAGGCCCTCGGTGAATCTCATCTCCTGGCCTTTCAGAAACTTCTCCATCTGACGGAGCACCCCGACCACCTGGTGCTTATCCATGCATGTCTGCGGACAAAGAATGAGCACTATGACCAGAAGTTATTTTAAAAATACTATATTAACAAAACATTTCAAAATTCAATTACTTTCTAACAACATAAAGTGCATGAATAAAGGTCCCATCAGTTTAATGATTATAGAATATAAAACATGAGCTATGGATGAACATTAATGTGCAGCTGTCGAGTATGATGCAATTGAAATTGAAATTGAATGCAACACCGTATCAGTGTACACAAGGTGGTTAGGGTTACAAAGAGTTTACATTGATATTAAAATGCATAATACATTTATTTTACCAGGGATTCTTTTACATAAAACTACATTTTCACTCCACTTTTTTTCCATTAAACCTAATTGCACTCACATGTGAGATAATCTAAGCTCACCATCTCTCTTCTGTTCTCCCTCAGCCCTTTCCACTTGCTATCACAACTGTAGTGGCAGACACAGCTGGACCAAAGCTGTCTGGCAGATGTCAGTGGGACTTAAGTCCAAAATGCTGTTCCTCTGTATATTTTGCATGGTGGGAAGGCACATGTTCATTGGATAATGTTGAATGGGCAGACTCAAAATAGCATTGGTGCCATTAGCAGTTACTTGAGCGAGAAAGCTTGTCAAGCCATTACACAGTTCCTCAGAGAAAGTGCCTCTAATCCTTTCAGGAGGGTTTATTAATCACATGCTCATTGGAACAATTTCTCTGTGCAGCATACCTTAAATTCCTGCACCGGCAATTGGAGGACCTTCGACAATAACAACTTCATTACATTACAATTCAGTTTGCACAGCGGTTGAACCTGTGCAGAATAGACAAGGCTTTGTCTTTTTACCTGCCTCAGGCAAAAAGGGAAATGCCCCCAGCTGACAGGACATGAGAGAGCTCACATCTGGATACTACAAAGGAAGTTTTTTGGAAAAGCAGATCCAGTCATTTCTCCAATGGAACACATGTGACCAACATTGCAAATCTTAAAATCTCGCATAATCACAATAACAGCTGGATAAAGTGTAAGACAGTACAACACACACATAAAATGGTGGCTGGTGTCACTTGTTATAGATTAATAGGATTAAGATATTAAGGTGATCCTCAAATAAATATTTCCCAAATGTGGTTACCTCATATTTTAAGATTTGATAACATACTTTATTGAGCAAGTTTGACCTGACGACAGATCTTCTTGGACAAAGAGTTGTCACTAAAGTAACTCTTACCTGAACGGAAGCATGGCCACCCTGGATAGCTGTCAAACACAGCAAAAGCAAACACCTGCGTCGAAAAGAGAGTGCCATCTCTGAAAGTCCAGTTTATTACTGTAGCCTACTTTTATAAAAGTAATACTCCTTTGCTGGTGTTTTCCAAACTTGATAGAGCTTCGATAAAATCCCCAAAACAGTGATCTCTCGGGAGGTTCTGTCCCCGGCTGCTTTCCAGAGTTTGGGGGATGCTCATCAGGTGTCTGACACAGAGATGCGCTCCCTTCTCTTTATCTGCGCTCTGGAACAGTTCAGCCTCTGAGCTCTGCACGCCTGCAGAAGGAATCCCTCCCACCGAGATACTCCCAAACATTGTGCGATTTTCTCCTTACATCTCTCTGTTGCTGTCAATGACACTGTAGAGTTGGCTGAAGGCTATAGCTCAAGTGGGATAGCCTATGACCTTAATTGTTTGTTTACTTGGCCACAAAGGGTAACAAATCAATAATAGTTACATTTTTCATACAATCTCACATGACAGGATGTCTTCCGAATAAGATATTCATTGCAATATTATGATGAATAACACGACGAAGCAGGCGCTCTGAGTGACAAAGACGGTTAGACACATCTAAAATGACCTATTCTCTATCTAAAACAGGACAAACAGTTAACTATATCCGTGTTTTTTAGACTGTAGGGCAGGCTATAGGCCAATACTAACACTCATTGTGAGAGAGACCATTGACTGAAAATGTAACTAACTACCGGACGTAGACAATGTTTATTGGTTTGATGTTACCATTGTACAAGCTCTTATTTTAGGGTTTGCTCTGTAGAGTCAGAGCTACACCTGGTGATCGATAACAGGAACTGCACGTGCGCGTGAAGTCGACCTCATTCGCGCGCGTGAGTCCGTAAACAATAAACAATAAACAAGGAAATAAATCCGTAGGTAGGAATAAAGATAAATGGTTTCAGCTGTTTTTGTCTTTAAAAACACCCTATTCTCGGGTCATTATAACTGCGCAATACACGTTAATAAAACATTGACAATGGACGTCGTAAACACTTCATGTTGCAGATGTTGAAATTGACTGGCGTTGATTTGAACCAATAAGAATCGCTGTTCTTTTTACCCGGGCGATGCCTGACCAATAGCTGACAAGGATCGGCTGTAACCAGGTTAGATAGATCCAGATAGGACTATATATACATGGAGGAATACATGATCTAGGAATGTGCTGCAGACCTCAGAAGCCATTTTGAGATGATGTCCCTGTTGAGAAAGCCTATGAAGATGCTGAAATCAACGAACATGGTTACATTTCTGTCTGTTTCTCCCTCCGTCTCCTCTATTTCACCATGGCAGCTGTCAACCGACGGGACATTAGCAAAGCGGGGTATCAAGCTGTGCTCACAGAGTTAAAACGTCATTGATATGAAAGAGGACAGTGTCTGTTTATTGTCTCTGTCGAGACATGAAACACCGTGAGTTTTTTCCAGTCTGAAAATCTTCCAGCATCTCTCACAACACACCGTCTCCTTGAGTGACTGAGTTAATTCACTCGTGTAGCCTGCCGGAGAGAAAGGAGGCAGATCCGTTTTCCAATGGCTTCTGTGAGCCTTGTTTCCTGTCCCCCAGTCCCTGTTCTTGACAAAAACATGACAGACTCTGAGCTTGCAGGGGATGAAAGGTCGAGTAACATTCTTATGCAATTCTTAATACGCTCATCTGTGCGTTTCAGTGCTGTGGGTCGACATGCTTGTGTTACTGTTTTCTTTTCTTTTTTTTAACCATGAATTGCAGGGTTTAGAGCCCACGGTTTCCCCCCTCAAAAATCTTTGCATGCCTCTTAGTGCAGTTGAATAACGCTGTCCAGATAACATTGATTTCCCATCACATTGTTAAGAGTCATTCACCATCATTTCCATGTAAGATAGCAGACCTCATCGTGTTTGTAGCTCTGGTGCTGGAATGAATTCATAGCTTCATTGTTGCCATCTGCAGGAGACTATGCAAATTATGTTAATGCCACGCCCATCATAGTGCTGTGCTCCCTCTAGCGGGCACCTGGCAGTACTGCTGAGGCAGGGTTCACAAAGGGTTGATGCCTGTGTCCTTGTGATTGGTCTCTAGTCCTCAGAGGGCTGTCTGACCATGTGAACAAAGAGGGCCTAGGGTTTGATGGTGTCAAGCTAAAGGTTTCACCAGAGGATTTTACTGTCTTATGAAGCTAAGCAACATGAACAGCTGATGTTGTGATACATGGTTGGAATACAAGCTGTCCAGGGCTGCCTGTCCCTGATTTACACATAACATGCATCACTCAGTGCATTTCAGTTTCCTCTTACATGGTTAGACATGGGGTCCCCCTCTCCTTGAGATATTGTACATTTATGTGGGAAAAATCTTAAAAGTTGTTTTTTAAGTCAGTGAAAATACACGAGTTGATTTATGTTGTGCAAAAATAGAATTTAAAGTTATTATAGAAAAGTCATTGAATATCTACTCATAGTATTTATATTATAAAACATATTCCTATGTCTTTTTATGACATTTCCCCCCCCATATACAACAATTGTTTCATATTGCATCTTGAGGTTTCTGCTATGGAATAAAAGTGAAGTTAGGTACAGTAATGTGATGGCTTTGGATATGGTGGAAAGTTTGAATAATGATCTGCACTGGTGTGAGAGAAAGAGGTAGCTAGTGTCTGTGAAAACAGACGTGGATCAGTTGGTGGACATTTTTCCCATTTCAGGGTGTTTTGGTTTCATGCTTCTAGCGGCTTTGTATTTTCATATCAGCTGACATTACATGATATGAAAATAATAATAACACTGGAATGATTTATATGCAGCTGTTCCAGGCATATCTTTATATTTGAAACAGGTGTAATACAACATTGCTTTTAACTGCCAAGCTAGAGTTATTACCAACTAAAAGTACCCGATCCATCCGTGTCTAAAAGACATTAAAAGCAGCATGTGTGAAGTTTGCACCTGGGTCACACACAGGGGTCATGGGTGATGGAGCGAAGTAAAAGAAAGCAAACCCAAAGTTCTTCCAAAATAATCATACTGATCATAAGATTAATAGACTATGGCTCTATTATATACTTACATTCTTGATTGGTATGCATTTATAGAGGTCATAGAGGAGTGCTCAGGCCTTCCAGCCTGATAGCTTATTTTAAAATTACATAAAAATGTTTGGCATACTTTTACTCAAGAGTAATAATGGACCTTATTCATTCATTTTTATTTGTTTGCCCACACACAAAACATAATAAGTGTATCTTTGACTTCAGGCTGTCATTGTATAACAACTAAATAACCTTGCTTTTAGAAATCAAAAGGCTTTCGTGTATTTCTTTTAGCCGGAGGTTGAAATGAATTTGGCTTTCATGAAATAGCAACACACACTGGCTCACAGGAAATCAAAACTTAGCCTTGAATTATGGATGGGATGTTTTAGTACAGGAAAGCTTAGGGCGTAATGGAAAATCTCTAGCATAATATTTAGTTGTTCCAAATAAAGGGAAAATACATTATGGCTGGCTTAGTATTATTTCATATCCTTATTAAATGATTACAGCAGGTGATTCTAGTTCTGCTCATGATGTTTTTTATTGATTTAATAATGTCTGATAATAACAAAACACCGTCTATAAACCCTTACACTTATACCTTTCTCCTCATTTCAGAGAGGATGGCGAACTGGAAGACGGAGAAATAGATGATGAAGGAATTGGGATTGAAGAGGAAAATAAAGAGGTTGCTGAGGTTAATGAAGACAAAGAGAAAGAAAAAGAGAAGGAAAAAGTTAAGGAGAAAGAAGAGAAGACCCACAGGCACTCCAGGAAAAGATACAAAAAGACCAAAGAGAAGCGGAGGTCCAAAAGGAGGAGGCGTGACAGACAGAAAGTAAGACGCTTTAATAAATCTTATCGCAATAAAGGAATGAATTCAAACTAATGTGTTTTTCCTTTGTTCCCTCGCCCTTCTCCTCAGCACCACTCCCCTTCCAGCAGCTCCAGCTCCGACAGTTATGACTCAGACTACGACCGATCAGAAAGGCCCAAAAACCGGAAGACCCCGGGACCAGATGGCCAGTCCTCTCAGGTGAGTTCACCACCGCTGGCATGCTGATGCTAAATATTCATAAAGCTATAATGACTTTATTCTCTTTAACTACTGACTTTCCAGCATGGACGGGATTCAAAGGGAGGCCATGGTAACTCCCAGAAGTCCCCGCCTCCAAAGAGCAGTGATTTCGACAAATACAGCGACTACAGTGATGACAAGTATGACTACGACGAAGAGGAGGATGATTACGAAGATGACATGTCGGAGTACCCGCAATCAAAGGATTCAGGTCCGCAGGGTCGGGGAAGGGGACGGCAATCCAAAGACCAGATGAAGAGAGGAAGCATGAGGGGGATGAAACAACAGCAGTGTATGAATGAGACACTTTCAAATCAGATCATTTATGTGGTATCTACATGTACTGTTTTTGTTGCTGTTGTGTTTGATGACTTCTTCTTTCATCATTTTCAGTTGGGCAGAGAGGAAGGGGCCGAGGCAGTGGGCCGGGGAGAGGACGTGGGATGCTCTTCAAGAACAAGAAGCTGAAGGGCAAACCCTGGGGAGGACGTGGACGAGGACGAGGAGGAGACCAGGGCATGGAAGACATGGTCCCAGTGAGTCAATATATTGTATATAGCTCTGTAAACCCCTTAATAGTAACGTAACAATAAATTGCTGTATTTTTAGTTGCTTGGATGTTGATTTGTATATGAACAACGCTTTATTTTCACTTTTATCTGGTGTTTCATCTTCAGAATAAAACCAAAAATATTCTATCAATTGAAATTAAACAATTCTGTAGTCATATTTGTTTGACTCAACTCAACAGACACACAGTGTAGCGGAGCTAAATGTGTGTCTGTTGAGTTTCGGAGCTAACTAAGCTTTATACAGTATAATCATGATCAACACTAATACTATAGTTAATGTAAACTTAATTTCTCCAAATACAATTTATTTTAACAAATTCAATTTGATAAAGCTTAGAGAGTCTATAAATGTTTGGGTTGGGAACCTTGCTTGGATTTTAATCGTACTTACTCCTCGCATCACAACTTTGCAGTGTTTTAACTTTTGACTGTTCAGCTTAACACATAGTCTGGCATAAAGACAAAACTAAGGCTACATATTTTTATGTGTGTTACAGGAAGGAAAAAAGTATGGTCAACGGCCAATTATGAGCAAAGAGTTTATCAATCAGCACACAGTCGAACACAACGGGAGA